CCGTTGCCGGACACGGAAAAAGACAAAAGACCCAAAAAAAAAAAAAAAAAAAAAAGGGGGATTTTGACGTTTCTTTTTTAATCTCTGTTGCCTTGTACAGTTACTGGCAATTGTAGCATGCACTTAGTGTTCGTTGAATAAATGAATTAATAAGCAATAATGTATTTTAATAGTTATTTAATATATCAAGTGCTTGTGCTCTAAAACATAATATATTGATTGAAAGGCATTTAAAAAAATCTTAGGCTACTTTTGAGGCTACTAAAAGTATTTGAATTTTTTTAAATATATTTAAGATTCCTTATTACTTTGTTAAAGCCAAATTTATTAAATTAAGTATATGCTGTTCCACAGTATTTCCTTTTTCTCTGGGACTTTATTCCCCATGACACTTGACTATTTTTACTTGTTTGTGTGACCCTAAGTGAAAAACAAAAATGACTGGCTTCTCATTCTCTGCATTTTTTATATCACATGCCTCTTTTCTAGCAGAATTTTCTGGTTGTTCAACTGAAACAGTCATGTTCCAGAATTCTTTGCATTTGGCAAAGTTGTCTTTTTATCAGCAAACATTGTGTTTATGGTTTTGAAAATTAAGCCTTCTATTAGATAACAGGGCAGAGCTGCTAAGTTTCCTAACTATAAAATACCCACTTGTAATCGTTTTTTTTAGTCATAGATCTCCATTCACTGGTTTTTTCCAAAAAGGATGATAATTTAAGTCAGGTTACTGAACTACTTTAGTTTGCATGGTCTTTTCTTTTCCAGAAATCTTCAAAATCCTATACTGCCTATTTCAAAAATGTTATCTCTAAAATTAAGAGACCTACAATAGTAAATAACACAAACTAAAAATATTTCCTTTAAAAAAATGTGTGAAAGAATGAACAAATAAATGAAATAAGAACTAAGAAACATGTACTGAGTGGCAAGCACTATGCTGATCTGGGGATAGATAAGGTGGCCACAGTCTTAACAGAAGATGTTAATATCTAAATTGTACTATGAAGTAATTTCAACAGAATGTGTTCTCAGTATGGAGGTAGGAGTTATTTTAAAGAGTAAGTGATTTTAGAGGTGCTTTCCTGTATTAGCAAATATTGTAGGATAATTTTGCTTATCAAAGGATACCTAAAAGAGACTTCAGAATGTAATGTTGCCTACTGTAAATAAATATGAAATGTTTACATGTTATTGCCTACCTCTAAAATTTGTGGAGCCAAGAGAAACATAAATTGTCTAAGTCACTCAGGAATTGACAACAGAGTCTAGAAATCATGTTAAATCATTAAAGAAAATAACACATATAAAAGTTAATCTATTGGCAGGTAATTAAAGGAGCATAATCTGTGTGAATTAAACTCAACTTAGTAATGTTTTCAATATGTAGCTATATAATACTAATAGAAAATTTAAAAACAAAGCAAGAATAGTTGGATTATACTGTCATCATCAGAGAAGTACTTGGGGGTCCCAGCTCCCTGCAGTCGCTATACCTATTAGCATATTTTGTTTTTGTCTCATGGGGAGCCTTGGAAATGGTATGATTTTTTTTTTTTTTTTTTGTCTTTTGTCTTTTGTCTTTTTCCGTGTCCGGCAACGGACCGCAGCCGTCAGTGTTGGCCCCGTACCGGCCCGGGGACCGGCAACGGGATTGCAACCCTCGGTGTTGCTCCCGCGCCTCGCTCAGCCAGTGAGCGGGAACCGGTCTGTATGTGGGATCCGAACCCTCTGGCGGGAGCGCCGCCGTGCTTCCCAAGCGGCGCACTTATCCAGCGTGCCACCGGGCCCGCCCCAAAATGGTATGATTTTTTTTTTTTCTTTTGTCTTTTGTCTTTTGTCTTTTGTCTTTTGTCTTTTGTCTTTTGTCTTTTGTCTTTTGTCTTTTGTCTTTTGTCTTTTGTCTTTTGTCTTTTGTCTTTTGTCTTTTGTCTTTTGTCTTTTGTCTTTTGTCTTTTGTCTTTTGTCTTTTGTCTTTTGTCTTTTGTCTTTTGTCTTTTGTCTTTTGTCTTTTGTCTTTTGTCTTTTGTCTTTTGTCTTTTGTCTTTTGTCTTTTGTCTTTTGTCTTTTGTCTTTTGTCTTTTGTCTTTTGTCTTTTGTCTTTTGTCTTTTGTCTTTTGTCTTTTGTCTTTTGTCTTTTGTCTTTTGTCTTTTGTCTTTTGTCTTTTGTCTTTTGTCTTTTTCCGTGTCCGGCAACGGACCGCAGCCGTCAGTGTTGGCCCCGTACCGGCCCGGGGACCGGCAACGGGATTGCAACCCTCGGTGTTGCTCCCGCGCCTCGCTCAGCCAGTGAGCGGGAACCGGTCTGTATGTGGGATCCGAACCCTCTGGCGGGAGCGCCGCCGTGCTTCCCAAGCGGCGCACTTATCCAGTGTGCCACCGGGCCAGCCCAAAAGTGGTATGATTTTTAAGCTTTTTGGTAATAATGTATGACTCCATTTAAGCTAAATGTCTGCCATTATAGAAAAGGCACACCAATTTTAATGCTCTAAGCAGTTTAAGAGTAAAAACCACAACTTCCAAAACAAAACAGGGTTTTTTTAATGTCTTTGCCACATTAATCTCAATTGGTATAGATGGTTGAGAATTGCCTATTAGTAAATTTTTTCTCTTTTGACATTTCCTTTGACAGGTGGTGGAAGATGGATATGAATTTTTTGCTAAGAGACAATTGGTAACCCTATTTTCAGCCCCAAATTACTGTGGGGAGTTTGATAATGCTGGTGGAATGATGAGCGTGGATGAAACTTTGATGTGTTCTTTTCAGGTATGATATAAATATAAATTTATAGCAACTAGAAAATGTAATTAAAACTATTGTCAGAGGGTTTTTCTTGTAGATTTATGATCTTTCCTTGAGCAAATGTTGAAAATCAGTTTAATTCAGAAGTGATTCCCACTTAGACTCATTGGAGAGTTCTATTTTCAGTCACAAAGTTTTCAGCCTTTTTGTTATATATCAAATATGAGGGTTTTAGAGAACCTGAGTATGTCAGTTATCCTTGATTCAGATGTTTAATTGGTGAATTCCTCTATTGGACTGTGGCTTACCTATTAAAAGAATGTAAATGCAATGAACAGTTTAGCGTTTTGTTTTCTTTTGCAAGGTGAATGCGTGGGACAGATACTGGGGAGAGAGAGAGAATTATAAACTCAGATGAAAATAAAGTAAAATATTTACTTACAAAAAAACTTTGTAAATAATCTTAAAGCACCCATTTATGAACAGAGAAACATTTACATTTTAGAGAGGCCAGCTCTAGCTTTAGTGTGCTGCTTACGAGTCATTCTTGTTCACTGACTAAAATAACCTTAATACTTTGTTTTTGCAAAGGTTATTTTATGTCCTTGGTGTGCACACACTGTATTTTCTCCTTTTAAATGTAGTGGGATGTTTCCATCCCTCTTATTCTTTGTTATATTATACTGTTTTCATCAGCTAGTACAATTGATAAATGGCTGACTCCTCATTTATAATTTAGGGATAGTAACCAAGCTTTATCTTTCAACAGTTATCATAGTGGAGTTGGATTAAAATATTCTTTTCACTGAGGCACTGTGATGTTCTGAATAGTTTTAAGAATTACTTCATAAGTCTTTTCTACACATCTTTATTGTAAAATCATGACATTTTCCATCTGTAATGCAGTTTAAAGGTCTATGTACACCCACCAGAATGAATATAATAAAAATGTCAGTAACAGGTATTGGCAAGGATATGGAGAAAGCAGAATCTTTGTGCATTGACTGGTAGGAATATAAAATGGGTAGCTGCTTTGGAAAACAGTCTGGCAGTTTATCAAAAGGTTAAACAAAGAGTTATCATAAGACTCAGCAATTTCACTCCTAGTTATATACCAAAGAGAAATGAAAACATATGTCCACATAAAAACTTGTACGTGAATGTTCATTGCAGCATTCTTTTTGCAATAGCCAAAAAGTGGAAATAGTTCAAATGTCTATCAGCTAATGATTGGGTAAATAAAATTTGGCATATCCATATAATGGAATATTATTCAGCAATAAAAAAGAATAAAGTACATGTGATTTTTTTTTTTTTTTTTTTTTTTTTTTTTTTGTGACCGGTAAGGGGATCTCAACCCTTGGCTTGGTGTTGCTCGCACTGCGCTCAGCCAGTGAGCGCACCGGCCATCCCTATATAGGATCCGAGCCCGTGGTGGGAGCGCCGCACTCTCCCGAGTGAGCCATGGGGTTGGCCCTAAAGTACATGTTATAATGTGAAGAATCTTTGAAAACATATGTGAAAGAAGCCAGTCACAAAAGACCACATATTATATGATGTCAATAATATGAAATGTCCAGAATAGGCAAATCTATAGAGATAGAAAATAGATGAGTGGTTGCTTAGGGTTGGAGGGGTTGTGGGGAGGTGGAGAGCAGGAATGGGGGATGACTGCTAATGTGAGCAAGATTTCTTTTTAGGGTGACAAAAATGTCCTAAAATTAAATTATGGTAGTGGTTGTACAGCTCTGTAAACTAAAAACCATTGACATACACACTTTAAATGGGTGAACTTTATGGTAGTGAAATATACCAATAAAGCATTTAAAAAAAAAAATCTATTTATACACTAAAAAATAAGGTCTGAAGAGTTTGTGACTTGTTGAAGATTAATTACCCTGCTAAATAAATATGTCAGAATTATGATGAGAACCTAGGTCTTTTGACTATTAAACTGGTGTTCTTTTTCTCACCACAGAGATCACTAATTTGAAAAAAATTTTACTTAAATCTAGGGATTGGGTAGTTGATAGGGACAGTGTGCCCAAGCTTTTGTTGCTAAAATGTGAATGGAATGACAAATAATAACAGTGTGCAGACATTTGCACACTTTAAATGTGAGAAATGTTTGTGGAACCTCGATGTTTTGTTCTGTATTTTTATTGGACTTTTACAATTTCTGTGAAGTGGCAATATTTTATAATATGCCCTTTATCGAAAAAAACACCATTCTAGCAGTTTTCTTGAACTTACTGCACTTGAAAGAATAACATTGTTAATAAATTATTTACTTTCAGATATTGAAACCATCTGAAAAGAAAGCTAAGTACCAGTATGGTGGACTGAATTCTGGACGCCCTGTCACTCCACCTCGAACAGCTAATCCACCGAAGAAAAGGTGAAGAAAGGAATTCTGTAAAGAAACCATCAGATTTGTTAAGGACATACTTCATAATATATAAGTGTGCACTGTAAAACCATCCAGCCATTTGACACCCTTTATGATGTCACACCTTTAACTTAAGGAGACGGGTAAAGGATCTTAAATTTTTTTCTAATAGAAAGATGTGCTACACTGTATTGTAATAAGTATACTCTGTTATAATATTCAACAAAGATAAACCCAAATTAAAAATTATTCATTAAAGTTACATCTTAACGTATCACAATTTTTAAAGTTGAAAAGCATCCCAGTTAAACTAGATGTGATAGTTAAATCAGATGAAAGCATGATGATCCATCTGTGTAATGTGGTTTTAGTGTTGCTTGGTTGTTTAATTATTTTGGCTTGTTTTGTTTTGTTTGTTTTTGCTAGAATAATGGCAAATATTTTTTTTTCCCTAAACATTTTAAAAAGTGAAATATGGGAAGAGCTTTAAAGACATTCACCAACTATTATTTTCCCTTGCTTATGTACTTGTTTGATCTTACTAAGAAAACTTATGCCTCATTACAGTAAAAAGGAATTTTAGAGATTGATTGTTTTTAAAAATATGCAAACTGTACAATCCAATGATTTTAATCAGTTTGATGGGCAAACTTTACAGCTGATAGTGAATATTTTGCTTATACAGAAAATACCACTGATTTGGATTTGTGCACTCTAACTTTTAACTTGATGCTCTATTGTGCAGTAGCATTTCATTTAACTTTAAGATAAGGCTCATAGTATTACCCACCTAGTTGGTAATGTGATTATGTGGTACCTTGGCTTTAGGTTTTAATTCGCACGAAACACTTTTGGCATGCTTAACTTTTTGGTAACACCCTCACCTGCATTGGTTTTGTTTTTTGGGGTTTTTGTTGTTGTTTTGTTTTTAGATTTACAGAACATGAGAATCCTTTTTTGACAAGCCTTGGAAAGCTGACACTATCTTTTTTTTCTCTCTCTATACGAAGGATGTATTTAAATGAATGCTGGTCAGTGGGATATTTTGTCAACTATGGGTATTGGGTGCTTAACTGTCTAATATTGCCATGTGAATGTTGTATGCGATTGTAAGGCTTATGTCACTAAAGATTTTTATTCTGATTTTTCATAATCAAAGGTCATATGATTATTGTATAGACATGCTTTGTAGTGAACTATAGTAGCAATAATTTCTGTACATGATCAAGAGTTTATTGCATTTCTTTTCCTGTTCTCTTTTTTTTAAGGGTTAGTATTAACAAATGGCAAGGAGTAGAAAAGTCAACAAAAAGATTTTAGAAGGAGAACTTACAGGATTACAGGACACAGATTTTTGATGCTTTGGATGTGACACTATTGGATGTGATTCTAAAAGCTTTTTATTGAGCATTGTCAAATTTGTAAGCTTCATAGGGATGGACATCATATTTATAATGCCCTTCTATATGTGCTACCATAGATGTGAAATTCTTGACCTTAATATCGTCTTTGAAAATGTTAAATTGAGAGTTCTGTTAACTTAGATTTTATGAATTGGCGCATTGTATTACTGCAAGAGATTTGATTTTCAGCACAGTGCAAAAGTTCTTTAAAACGCATATGTCTTTTTTTCTAATTCCATTATGTTTTAAAGCACATTTTAAATGTAGTTTTCTCATTTAGTAAAACTTGTCTAATTGATATGAATCCTGACTGATTATTTTATTCCTTTTTTAAAAATTTACGGTGAGACATTTGACTACACATTTTATTCAGGTAGATATTATGTTCTTGACGTATATTGAATGACGCTTTTCTGAGAGTGTTCTTGAACTGCGTATGATGTATTAGGTTAGGTCACATAAGCTTTTATCTAGTGTGATTTAAATAACTTTCTGATTGGAGTGTAAGTTGAGCACTTTCTAATAATAGAATTTTAAATGTACTCTTTTAGTAGTCATATTGAAGCACGTCTAGAAAATAAGCCTTTGGCGGGGAAAGGGTAGTCTATTACTCTCAGTATTAGTTAAACCATATTAATCTGGATCTTACTGAGTTTTTATAAAAATTCATCTAGGTCAAGACTAAATATGAAAAAATAGTAATTAAGCAAATTAATATTGGTCATTAAATTTAAAGGATAGAAATTTTTTATGTTTAAAAATTACTTGAACACTTAAAACTACTATAATAGCTTTTATTCATGTACAAATAATGTGTTCATTACAAATATTTGCTTGGCTACATTGCTACATTAAATAAGTAAAACTTCATTTGTAAGTAGAAAAATATCCTGTAATTCCAGTGCCACTAATTTATATGGTTCTTCCTTCTGATTTTTTAATTTTAGTGATTTTCTGTATATGATTTAATCCAAATGTTGTGACATTCAAAATCATTAAATACACTAGCTGTCTTATAATGTGATGATCACATGGGTGATAAAGCAAGGTTATTATGGTCAATTTCTTTTAGTTCTTGAATGGAAAGGGTCAACTACAGTGGATCCTTTGCATTTGAAACTTTAACATTCACTGTTTTACTTTTGTGCAGGGACAAATTTTAATCATCAGTGAGACTGGTTTGTGAAGTGCTGAGTCCTCAGGTACTAGAGCCTAGCCAACTATTCAGTATCCATGCTGTGATATCCCTTCATTATAAAGAATACCTAGGTATTCCTGAAGATTTTTGGTTTTTTTTTTTAACTGAAAAGTTATGTCAGGAAGAATTTTAAAGATTAAAATAGGTGGTTAATTTGCCATATGGGTATGTTCAGGAGAATCAAGCCTTTCAAGAAAATTTTCATCAGGGCAAAGCCTGGAATATCTTAAGATGTCACTTAAGAATATAAAAGTGTATTATATTGAGCCAAGGAACTAAAATATGTCTCAGTTTATAAGTTCAGGTATATCCCTTTGTCTCCATGGCAATCATAACTTTTGAACCAAAAGAATAATTTTTTTTTTTTTTTTTTTTTTTTTTTTTTTTTTTTTTTCC